CGCATTCTACTAATTCCATCTTCAATTGCACGAACAACATCTAAATATGTCTTCTTGTGTTTCAGTGCAATAGCTAGTGAAGCATTCATAGACTCGCACCTTTGTGTTGAGCGAATATTGGCAAAGAAATGACCGGTTAGATATGCTTGTGCCCATAAGTGTCGTGTATTTCCCTTCTCAATCACCCATGGATGCTTTTGGACGTTGAATTCTGAAACAATCGAACGCCATTGAATATCAAATTCCTTGGTTGTCCACCAGGAAGCCATGCATTTTGAGAATGCTGCTGTAAACTTTGGGTCACCAATGTTAGCTTGTGCATTGCGAGAAAGATGCCAAGAACATAATCTGTGCTTAGCATAAGGGATAACAGATTTGATAGCCCTCTGCATTGCCCTATCCCCATCGGTTACAACGGAAATAGGTGATTTATTCATCATGGCTTCTAAAAAATTCTGTAGCACCCACTCGAAAGATTGAGACGTCTCGTCAGCGATTATGGCAGTGGCAAACACAATTGTGTTATGGTGATGATTGACACCAACAATAGGCATAATTGGTCGACCATACAAATTATCTTTGTACGTTGTGTCGAACGCAATTACATCACCGAAGCATGTGTAATCCGATCTCGATGTAGAATCCGACCAAATAAGATTATACAATGCCCCCGATTCGTCTACCGAGTATGTCATAAAAAACCCGGGATCATCATGTTTCTTATAATCAAAGTAGGCAATAAGCGCATTCACATCCCCATCGACGATTTCCTTTGCTTTACCTCTTTGAAGTGCATTGTAGAGGTCTTTATGCGTAAATCCAACATTATGATAGTCCCCTGCCTGCTGCGTTAAATAGTTCATTACTTGTGACGTGCCAACACCGACCTCTTTCAATGTTGTTGCCTCATCGATATCAGCCTTACTTACAGCTCTATTAGAACGCATAAATGGTGTCATAGCAGATGTGCACAATGCATGATTATGTTTCTGATCAGACTTACTTATAACCCACTGATTGTTTGTATTTGTTGCTGTAACTACGACTCTAGCCTTACATCATGTTCTTGTGACTGGCGTATGAGCACGTTGACGATCAACAATATTGACTTTTGATACTCGAAACCCTTCTTTGGAACAACAAAATTCTTGTGTCTTCACATTCCCTTCCACGTCAAGCCGTGTTGTTCCCTTACGTGCACTAAACCCATGTTCCCGTGTGAATCCCTTGTAAAAGTGCCAAGCTTGATCACGTGAACAGAAGAGCTGACCAACCAATCTATCAGATTCATCAACATTATGTACTTCATGGCATTCCTCGGTTGGCTTAACATTGTCTACATCAGTATTATCCATGGCAAAAATTTTGTTGTGCAAGTTCAGTGCTCCAGGAGTTGATGGAGATGTAAGCAAAGGTTCATTTTGAACATGTTTCAGTCGTGCTGCTTTCACTATGATGTGGCATTGGTAGTGGTAGTTAAAGGGTGGGTACAACATTAAATTCGCAGTACATATTTAGGTATGTACAATAACTACAAGTATATTATCATTAAATTTAGGTATGTACAATAACTACATATTTAGGTATGTTTGTTAACTACATATTTAGGTATATACATCTTTTGAGTGAGTTTTAAGATATTAATTTAGTAATTATAGGAGTCTAATGATTTATTTTTTACGTTACGGTATATATTATTATTAAATTAAAAACAATAAACATATATATTACATATTTATTATTATCTTTGGTTAATGTTGTTAAATTTAAATTATAAATATTATTTTATAAAATATCAAAACAATCAAATAATTTTTTGTGTAAATGAAATTATTAAATTAATATTGTAGGTGGAAAACATGAAACACTGTTAAAAAAATTGAAACATAAATTACATAACTTTTAAAAAAAAGTATCGATCATTTTTATAAAAAGTATGGACACTTTCAATATAATAGGTAAACATATGATGTAATAGGTAGCGCTTATATAATGTAATAGGTATCGTTTATATAATGTAATAGGTAGTGATTATATTGTAAAGTATCTATCCTTTTTATAAAAGTGTCCATACTTTTTTCACTTTGGAAAACATTAATTTAAGGTTATCTTTTGAGTAAGATATTAATTTAGTAATTATAGGTGTCTAATGATTTATTTTTTACGTTACGATATATATTATTATTAAATTAAAAATTCTAAATATTATTTTATAAAATATCAAAACAATCAAATAATTTTTTGTGCAAATAAAATTATTAAATCAAATTACTTTATTCCAACCATGTGACAAGTGTGACAACTCCATCAACTCACAACTCAGCTTTGAACTCAATCAATATTGTCTTTTAGCTTGATGGTTCATAAAGCATGTTACTTGAACAGTATGAATCAATTATGCAATTTTCATGTTCAATTTAACACTGCATTTCAAATTCATTTCATATGTAATTGGAGTTTGAATTTAAATTTCAATTTGAGTTTGAATTTCAATATATATTTCGGCTCCACTATAAATATTAGCCCAAGCCAATATGCATGTTATCATTGATTATTCCTAATTTCCATTGTTTTTTTCTAACGTTTAAACGCGAGGGAAATCCAGACCATTGTATTTTTTGGTCAACTTTAAAGCGTCAGAAACGTTTCGGGCGTATGATCTGGGTGGTAAACAAATAGCAACTAAAATCATAAGTCCGAAATGCTTCTGAGTACCACCCAAATCATAAGTCTGAAATACTTCCGATGCTCATCAAAATCCAAAGCTCATATGGTGCCAAGCAAAAGGAAATCAAAATTCAAATCTCATATGATGCCAAGCAAAAGGAAATCAAAATCTACAACTTGAGTTTGAACATTGATATGATATGTTCAGTTGTTATCATGTTGGGATTTTCTCGTTTTTGATTGCTTGGATAGTTGTTCTCTTGCTTCTTCAAGTGTCCTTAGCTTGTAATTTATAGCTTGGAATGTGTTTGATGTTGTATATATTATTATTAAATTAAAAACAATAAACATATATATTACATATTTATTATTATCTTTGGTTAATGTTGTTAAATTAAAAATTCTAAATAATATTTTATAAAATATCAAAAAATCAAATAATTTTTTGTGCAAATGAAATTATTAAATTAATATTGTAGGTGGAAAACATGAAACACTATTAAAAAAAATTGAAACATAAATTACATAACTTTAAAAGAAGTATCGATCATTTTTATAAAAAGTATGGACACTTTCAATATAATAGGTAAAAATATGATGTAATAGGTAGCGCTTATATAATGTAATAGGTATCGTTTATATAATGTAATAGGTAGTGGTTATATTGTAAAGTGTCTATCCTTTTTATAAAAGTGTCCATACTTTTTTCACTGTGGAAAACATTAATTTAAGGTTATATTTTAAGTGAGTTTTAAGATATTAATTTAGTAATTATAGGCGTCTAATGATTTATTTTTTACGTTACGATATATATTATTATTAAATTAAAAATTCTAAATAATATTTTATAAAATATCAAATAATCAAATAATTTTTTGTGCAAATGAAATTATTAAATTAATATTGTAGGTGGAAAACATGAAACACTATTAAAAAAATTTGAAACATAAATTACATAACTTTAAAAGAAGTATCGATCCTTTTTATAAAAAGTATGGACACTTTCAATATAATAGGTAAACATATGATGTAATAGGTAGCGCTTATATAATGTAATAGGTATCGTTTATATAATGTAATAGGTAGTGGTTATATTGTAAAGTATCTATCCTTTTTATAAAAATGTCCATAATTTTTTCACTGTGGAAAATATTAATTTAAGGTTATCTTTTGAGTGAGTTTTAAGATATTAATTTAGTAATTATAGGCGTCTAATGATTTATTTTTTACGTTACGATATATATTATTATTAAATTAAAAATTCTAAATAATATTTTATAAAATATCAAAAAATCAAATAATTTTTTGTGCAAATGAAATTATTAAATTAATATTGTAGGTGGAAAACATGAAACACTATTAAAAAAAATTGAAACATAAATTACATAACTTTAAAAGAAGTATCGATCATTTTTATAAAAAGTATGGACACTTTAAATATAATAGGTAAAAATATGATGTAATAGGTAGCGCTTATATAATGTAATAGGTATCGTTTATATAATGTAATAGGTAGTGGTTATATTGTAAAGTGTCTATCATTTTTATAAAAGTGTCCATACTTTTTTCACTGTGGAAAACATTAATTTAAGGTTATCTTTTGAGTGAGTTTTAAGATTTTAATTTAGTAATTATAGGCGTCTAATGATTTATTTTTTACGTTACGATATATATTATTATTAAATTAAAAATTCTAAATAATATTTTATAAAATATCAAATAATCAAATAATTTTTTGTGCAAATGAAATTATTAAATTAATATTGTAGGTGGAAAACATGAAACACTATTAAAAAAAATTGAAACATAAATTACATAACTTTAAAAGAAGTATCGATCCTTTTTATAAAAAGTATGGACACTTTTAATATAATATAATGTAATAGGTAAATTTGCAATACTATCGGTATAAATATACCGGTTTACTTATAAAATAGGTAAATATAAGCACTACCTATTACATTATATAAGCGCTACCTAATATGTTATTGTACTTTATAATATTTTCGATTAAATAATATAACATAACCGATATAAATTTTAACCGATCACATCGTATATTAATCGTTTTTTAGGCGCCGCACCGCAGAATTACCCAGGAAAATGACCCCTTATCCCGTAAAACAACTTACAGTCCGTGAAAGGGTAAGTCATTTTCCCACCTTCAAAGGTAATACCCAAAATTGTGATCAAACACCATCTTCGACTGCTCAACGGCGACATTTATTGAGGCCAACGGTCATCTTCTCAGGTAACGAAAGCTGAGGTACGGAAGAGGGCAACAGCTCAAAGGAGAGGTTTTATTTGTATCTAGTTCTCTCGATCCACTAATGATGGCGATCGACAAAACCGAGCCCAGCAAGCTCCGATGGGGAGAGCTAGAGGAAGATGACGATCTCGGCTTCTTGTTGCCTCCCAAGGAAGTTATCGGCCTCGATGAGAACGGGATCAAAAAGGTGATCGAATACAAGTTCAATGAAGAGGGTAATAAGTTCAAAATCACAACGACGACCCGAGTCCAAAAGCTGGCCAAGGTCCGTTTGAGTAAGCGGTCTTTGGAGTGGAGGAATTGGGAGAAGTTCGGCAATGCGGTGCGTGAAGATGTTGGGAGTCGGCTCACTATTGTGTCCATTGAAGAGATCCTTCTTGAACGTCCCAGAGCCCCTGGTTCGATTCTAATTAATTTTTTTTCACTAAAATGTCTTATTTTATGTGATTTGGTTTTGATTTGATGAAATTGGATATATAAATTTGAAAGTTTTAGATTAGGATGATAGGTTATTGTTAATCTTCTCTTATGTGGTTTTGATTGCTGTTAAATTTTACTTAATTTACATTTGATTACATCTTTATATGGAACTGAAGAGATTATTCTTGAACACCCAGTGCACCTCGTTAGATTCCAATTACCCCTTTTTTATTAAGACTTTTTTGTGATTTGTTTTATATTTGATGAAATTGAATATATATAGATTAGGATGATTGGTTATTGTTAAATTTCTCCTAATCTGCAATTGATTGTTGTTAAATTTCTCTTCATTTCACAACCTTCTAATACTCTCTCCATCGATGTCTTTGGAGTTCTCTCCATCCCTTAGCAGAAAGCTTTCCCGATTGAGTCAGAAGCTACCTTTTCCTCGTTCGATTTCCTTGGGTACCCTCTCGCTTTAGATAAAGAAATCCCATAATGTTTTATGTTCAGATTCTTACAGATGGTGTTGACCCTAAACAACAAGCCTTTTTCTATTGGCAAGTTTTTTTAGTTTTCCATTTATGTTCTAGTGAGTTTCTCTCGTCTTATTTCAATGAATTGACGTTGGGAGCTCGTATGTGTACCCAATTCAAAGCAATTAAGGCGTAGACATCCGAAGGTCCTAGTTCAAAATACAAGGCATGTACATCCTGTTTTCTTAGAGTCAAATCTGCCAGCAGAAGGTTGTGAGCTTCTTCACAAGGCTCATGGTATGGCATATTTACCTATTATTATTTACGTTTAGTTTTTTTATGTAAACATTATTCTTTAGCAATGCAAAAAATGTATATGTATTCTTTAGAAATTGAAGATTGTATGGGCACTCTCAGATGAGGAAAAGAGAAGCTAAGGTTATGGGATTAAAAATGAAACAGGATAAGCCCAACTTTGGCTAATAATAAGTCCCTTCCTAGTAGACCCTCTAAATAGGTTGATCCAAGGAGTTCAAAGCTGAGATACTGGTTTGTGGTATCTCCCCATTCATATTTTCCCAACTATTAGGCTGTATGTTCTGGGGACAACAATTTAATGCATGTAAATTAGAATTCTATGGTGCTAGACTCAAGTTTTTGGAAAAGCATAGATCATATGGCCAGGGTTTAAAATAGCGGGATGAAAACGCAATAGCGTCCGCTATTTCGCGGTAGCGCCGCCGTCCGAAACCGAAATCCGGGAAAATAATGGTGGGCAACGGATTCATGCCAAAATCGGTCGATTGCTTCCGCAATCTAACGGGTAATGGTGAATAGCGCCGATAATGGGACACTATTACCGTTATCTACCGTTAATAACGGTGGCCGACGATCGAGAGGCTTGGAGCCTCCATGCTGAGTGCCGTTCGTGAGATGGAGAGGGAGAGAAATAGAAGAGATGAAGTACATAGGGGTATTGTTTTAGGTTAGATTAATTTATTTTTGGATTAATTTCATTTAAGTCCCCCATCTTTAGCCGCATATTTGTATTTTTGTTATTGAGTTTGGACTATTATGAATTTTATTCTGGATCATAGGGTCTGATCATGATAATTTACCTTATTGTTTTGCTAAAGTGTTTATTAAGAAGTTTTAGGATTAATCCTTCTTAGGTCCCTAACATTTATGCGTTTTTTTATGAAATAGTCACCCCTTCCTCATTTTTTTTAAATATTTTGAATATTATGCTCTAGTTTCATTAGTTTTATTTTAATCGCTCATTTATATTTTTTATTTTGAAATTAGCTATGATATTTTTATTTTCTTTTATTTTGGTCACTGTTTTTTATTTATAATCTACTCACTGTTATTGTTTTATTTTGATCTCTATGCTTTACTTTATTATATTTTAGTCAATTTAATTCTATATTTTAATATTCTGAACTATTTTATTTTAGGCCTTATATTCTGATATTTTAAAATAAATAAACACCCTACTTAGAAAAGCCTAAAAAATCAAATAATCTACATTGCTTACGTTTTTGTTTTGTTTTCTATGTTAAACTATATTATATATATGTCAATTTCACTTGGAAAACATTTTAAAAATCATTAAAATGATTCATTATAATTATAATAATTTTTATTATGTTTTAAGATAAGTTATGTAAAATTTAAAAAAATTCACGACCGCGACACCCGCAATGAACTCGATGGAATCCGTTATGTCCGCAATCGCGATAAACGCGACGCGACCGAAAATATGACCGCGAACGCTATTTAAAACCCTGCATATGGCCCAAATGTTCATGATTATATTGTTATCAACTGACCTTTCATAGCCTGTTTGCGCAAGTCTAATCTGAAACTCTGTAGGTTGAACTGATCAGATGTAGGAATCATGTTTCTGACTTTAGCTTTTCAAATACTGATAAAAGGGCTCTTGTCTTAGGTGGGAGATTTTTACAAAATGATAGAATGGCTGCTCTGGAGTATGCACAACATCTTCCATCCAATGTTGCAGGGGTTTCAGGCACTACAGGACAATCATATTTTGATTCTGAACATGTTCAATCAGTGTCCGGAAACAATCTTGCGTCCGCTACCTTGTTGCAATTTGCATAGACTAAAAAAATGTCGACAGAAGTTTCTGGTTCTAGAAAGTATGTCTTGGATATTTTCATATATTTATTCAGCGTGTTCTGATTCATTTCGGAATTGTGCAGTTGTAAAATGCTCTACTTATTTTTCATTATAGCATTGTTCGTCACTTTTGTTCTGTGAATTCAAAAGCACTGCCTTGTCATTTTGTTGTACCTTTCTTTATTAGGCATTTTTTTGGTGTAATGGTAATAGCTACTGTTGAATTATTGTTTTTCTAGACAATGTTGGTCTCAGAACAGTTGCAACGGGATATTAAATCGATGTTGTGTCGACTGTCGATTATTTTGTGACTGGTTTTAGGAATGAAGACTTTATTGATGTTTTGATTGCTACCCTTAAATGTGTTTAGCGTTTTGTCTTGGTGCTTTTGATGATTTTGCTTTCCCTAAAAATGCATTCATTTTCTATTTCAGGTTATTGTGAAGCAAAACGGAGCATCTCAAACTTATATTTTAAGTTTTGAAGAATCATTGTTTAGTTTTGTGTTTTGTTCATACAATAACATTTTCAAGTTAAATTTTTAGGTTGGATTGCATCTTTCTTTATATGTTATTGTTTCATTATTTGGATAATATCATTTTCTTAATTTTGTTCTAATATTAGATTTATTTGGTGTAAACATTTAATTTTAAAATTTTATAAAATACAATTTTATAAAAATAACTTAATTTTTTTAAAAAAGGTAAATAACAAGAAAAATATATAAGTGTATACATTTTTACAAAAAACATATTCAATAAATTATTTTCAGAAAAACTAACCAAACAGTGTAAAACATTTTACAATGCAGCATCCAAACAATGTAAAATATTTTCTGGAAAATATTTTCCAGAAATGTAATTTATTTTCCAGAATTCATTTTTCGGAAATTGTTTTCAGTGAAACAAACGGACTCTAAGGCTAAAAAACACCCCCTCTCATTTTTTCTTCTCTGCGTTTCAAACACAGAGAGAATGAGAGAAAATTCTCTCAACCTCTCTCCGTCGGAGAGGAAACTGCCGTCCGGAGCGGCTCCCCATCCTAACCTCGAATCCAACGCCCGTTTTCCTTGAAACCCAACCAAAACGCCTAGATCTAGGTTTATACCTCTCGAAGTCCAAACGAAAATGGCGTTCTTTCGACTTCCTCGCAGCCGGCGATGAAGGTAAACTTTTCCCTTTTCGCTTCCTCTTTTTTTTTCTTGGGTTGTTCTCTCTCTTGAAAGGGTTCGAAGCTTTTGGGTTTTTTTTTCTTTTTTCGAATCCCCCGAATAAGGTCTTCTTTTTTTTCTTCCTCTAAACCCGAATCCCCCCCCCCCAAATATTTTTTTTGTTCAGTCCCCTCCCCGAAAATCTTCTCCTCCTCTTTTTTTTTTTTAAAAAGGATGATTTATGGTTGATTTATGATGAAAACAATAGGCTCTTTTGGTAGGAGTAGGGCTCTTATGATGTTATCCCGGTTTTAACGGGATTTTCTTATTTTTATATTGGTTTTTTTCAGATTTGGTTGTTGATTGATGTGTTGTTGCTGTTGATGCGAGGTGGTGATGATGATGGTTGAAACGGCGACTGTCGGATGACGAGGGTAGACGGCAAGAATTTTGGCGGCGCGGCGATGGCGGGAGAAGCAATTAGCATGAGCGGCGACGGCCGGAAACTAGGGTTTCAAACCCTAGTTTCATATTTTTTTTGGGCTTGGAGTTTGGGCCTGGTTTTGTTGGACCGAACCGGTTGGGCCTGTTTATATTTGGCCCGATCGGGCCTGTTGCGAGCTTGTTGTGTCATAACCATTTTTTTGAAAAATAATTAAATATTATTTTAAAAACGAATATGACTTTAATTTGAAAATTTTGGTGATTTTGGATTAATTTGAAATAAAGTAAAAAAGAAGTTGCCATCGATCTTTGGGTTAAGTAGGTCGAATACCTAAAAACGTCTTTTAAAACAAGTTTGAGAAAACTCATTTTATAAGACAATTCGGTCTGCGTTTACCAAAGATTCATTTATACGAGTTCGGGAGTCGGTTACGCGTGGGGAAGGATTAACACCCCCACAACGCCCAAAATTGATACTTAAAGCGCTTACACATTGTCGTAAATGGTGGGAATTACAAATCGAATATAAAGTTAAGTTATGATTCATTTATTGAACATTGATTAATTTGCTTCAAACTAATTAATTAGAGAAAATTCTTTAACTTGAAAAGAAATCTTGAAATTAGCAATCCTCCATCGGGAAAGCTAACTCGACTATTTCTTATTAGTAAAAGAATATTCCCTCATAAATGATTTTAAAAAATGTGAATCGAATATAAAAAATGAAAATCGATCTTTGCATAAAATAAATCACTATTTAGTAATATGCATCTCATAGTTCAACTTAAAATAAAAAGAATTAATTAGCAAAATAAAATCAATTTTATTTGAAGTTCACATTTTTTCGAATGTCGTATCGGATTGTATC